CATATCTGTACTCATCATTTATCTATACATATCTGTACTCATCATTTTTCTGCCTTAGTCTATTATGAGTGGTATTTACTTGCCTTAAAAATTTTGTTTTTCATAGGATAGTGTACAATTTGATGAAGCTTAAAAAATTATTTATGGATTAAAAAAATCTTCTGATTAGTATATACTTGTCCAGGACTGTGACATTAAGTGCTATCAGTAGAAGTTAGCAATAAATTCTACAAATCATGTGTTTTATCTGTATGCCATATACGTAGGCATTTTCTATAAGATAAGTTGGATCTGAAATGTTATGTTATATGATTTTTGTAGATAATAACTTGAAAATATTTTTAAGAGAATAAAGAATGAATAACTAATTAAGTAATTTAATTAAGCCAATTAATCAAAACCAAATCTCTATTTTGTATACCTCTGGTTGACTTGAGAATATGTTTCAACCTATTCTCAAAACCTAATGCAATTCTAGGATTTGACATTTCCCAGAGTCCTGGGTCAGAGGAATCCTCAGTCATCCCTAGTTTCATCTGGAAGTGTTTAACGGTTCTGATCTCCAAAGCAGGTTCTAAAGGACAATAAGAAATTAAACCAAAGTTGACTTTTATTTACTCCAAATATGCACTTCAAAATCCAGTGCCTACAGCAATCCAATGAAATGGATTCTCTTTGGAATACTAGGTCAGGCTGGAGATGAGAAGAACCAGGATTGCATGCTGTCAGGTCACATCTGGTCAGAGTGTAACAGGAGTCCTTCCACAGATGCTGTTGATCCCACACCATCAGCACACCAGGAGAGCTCCTTCCTCATGAAAGACCCACCAGTGCCAGTCCTAGAGAGCTCACCATGGTGCTTGCTTCCCTCTAAAGGGCCAGTGGTTAAATGTAGTCTATCCATTGTTGCAGAGCTGGTACTGAGATGCTAGTCTCAAGCTGAGTGGTAGTATGTCAATAAACGATACAGGTAGCATTTGATCATATTAGTCAATCACATATTAAACCCACATGATATTAGTTAATCATGATGAATAAAGCTCTATTCTCCACCATTCTGCATTTTTGTTTCTACAGAAGGCTGAGTTGTCCAAAATTCAGTTGTTTAACCAAATAAGGGAACACCAACAGGGGACTGGTGGGAAAATGGAAAATGAGGTTAGTTATTGATTTTAGTTGGCTGACTTCCCACTAGTTTTTTTGGGCTCCTTGTGACTCAAATAAAGGTCTTCTCTGTCAAAGGACCAATGAGTCTGCTTTTGGCTTATTCAAAGGCTATGAAATCAGTGTTTCGAAGAAACATTTGCACATGTATGTAGATTCAGCACTGTCCACAGTAGCCAAAGACCTGAGGTGTCTCTTGGGAACAGTGTTCTATTTACAAAAGATGAGGCCTTGTCATGTTTAGCAAAGTGGACATCATGTCAGGCATAACTAGTTAGATATAGAAGACAAATAGTACATATTTTCACTCATACGGAAGCTAAATCTCATAGAGGTAGAAACTACAATATTGCCTTCCAGAACCAGACAAGATGAGGGACTGGGGGTTAGGAGTCTGGAAGTAGGAAGTGAAGATGGTAAGG